CAATTAGTAATTGGGTGTTATTGTCTTTGTATAGTCCTCATGTGCATATAGGCTTCCATAAATTTTTTTCCCATCTAGGCTTTCGATTTGGATAAATGAAAATTAACTGAACTTTGTTTATATATTTTATATTTCTTTTTCTTTTCCTCTTCCTCATGGATCTTTTTTCCAAATTACTAATAATTAGAAGATATGAACATTACTTGTTTTTTTCATTATGTCTAACCAATAGCTATTGTTGGATTTCTTGTTTACTCCAGAACTAATAGTGTCGATGATAACTACATATCAGATTTACGTGGTCATTCATTGTCTACTAAGAGGCTTTTTTTGTCAATTATTTTTTTTTGTTTGTAGATATACTTGGTAACTCTCAATATATGAAACCAACATTGGAATGCCCAGATCTCGAAAATGCACGTTATTGTTATCACTAGAGGTCTATGTTTGAAACATGTTGAGGACTAGGAAATGACAAGAAATAAAGAATGCATTTTCTCCAACTATTCTATTCAATGTTACATTGGTATTTTTCATTATAGATGTGGTCCTTCATTTATAAATTATCAACGTTTACTAAATAAGTAGATTTCGTGAAAAATGGTCCCTGGTTTTAACAAAATATATTTTACTCAAAATGATACATGTGCAACGTAAATGTGCAGCAACTAGTTAATAGAAATTTTAAGTGGGGACAAATTTTTAAAAATTATAAATTTACAAAAATTTCTAAACTATCCAAAAAAATTTTTAAATTACACTAAGGAGGTTGTCCCCATTGCCCCGATGTAAATCCGCCGAGTTTCCTAAAAATGAAAAGAATAGAAAAAAAGTGTGTANATTTAAAATTACACTAAGGCGGTTGTCCCCATTGCCCCGATGTAAATCCGCCGAGTTTCCTAAAAATGAAAAGAATAGAAAAAAAGTGTGTAAGAGAGAGGAGAGAGAGAGAGAGAAAGAGAACTTACGTTTGGGCAAGACACTAACACCGAGCTTTGTAATTTAGAGTTATTTTTTTGTGAAAAATAGAGTGAATAATCTCGTAGGCTTTTTATAAGAGGAATTCTTTATGCAGGAATGCTTTTAAGTTTTTTGGATCACAATACTTTTATGTTAATTGTGTTTTTTTTTTACGAGATAAAAAAATGCCAACTCAATTTGATGTAATACATTTTACACCAAAAACTGCCAACTGCTATGTTTTGGGGATTACAATACTATTAGCACTTGTCTTTGCATAAATATAGCTCAAATTCTTAATATCTTTGTCTTGCACCAACAGTTTCGGCAAGTGCTTATTTTCCTTTCTTGCACAAACGTAAATTAATACAAATAGATAGACATGGACATGCTTATAGAATAAGTTTGATTGATTCACAACTGTATCAAATACAACAGCATTTTTGAAACAACTTTTCAGCAATTTTATGTTGAAGCAGCAATCAATCAATCAATCAATCAATGCATTTCACGATGAAGATCTACCCTCCAGTAGCCTCAAATGCATCAATCAAGAGTACCTAATTGTAACTACATAGCTGCCACTGTTTCTCCAAGTCCAACTAATCCCAAGGAGGTACAAAAATTTACTCTCTCTCACCAGAATCTGGCAACCTGAGCCAGAATATTGATACAGAAAATATCAAAACAATTTAATTCTAGAATATTGGGAAAAAATTAACTTCTTTGGTTTGTCCGGCTTCCCAACAACTATTCACGCATCCAGCGACAAACAAACAATGGGTTTGGCTTAGGTATCAAAGGAAGGAGGTATATTACTGAAATAGGATCAATCATATTTTAGGTCAAGTTACAATGCTTTGGGGGAGTTCAGGAGCACTATAATATAATGGGATCATCGATCTCAAATACCTTAAAAATTTATAACTTGACCCCCAAAAAAAATTGTTTTTCCGTATAAACTTATCCAAAAACTATATGCATAAAAGGAATTATGATCCAGTTACTCTAAAGAGCAGGAGCAATTGCCGGGAGAAATAAAAACATCAAGAAGGAAGTGAGAGAAATTTACCTTCTAAAGTTTTAATCTGCCTGCTCGACAAGGTGCTGGGTACCACAACCATATGAATCAAGGTTGCTCTGTCAGATGCATTTTAGTCATGTGGGATCAAGGATTGTATTTCCCGAAAATTAATCCAAATCCGACAAACATGAGCTATCTTTGGCCAGTCCTCTCCTTTCTCTTTCTCGCATCGCCTCTCCAAATGTGGACATTCTTCAATTCGCAGTGTTTCGAGTGACTGCAGCCCATCTGGCAAGGAAATCAAGTTGGGGCAATACTGAATTATCAACGCTAGTAAGAAATTTTCTATTTTTTTAGGGGGCAGGAAAACAATGTATCCCAAAAAAGAATTGAGTAAATAACTAATCAAATAGCAGCCATAATTGAGGAAATTGAACTGAGTGAAAGCATAGAGCAAAGAGACATTCCATACTATTGAACCCAAAAGGCTAATAGAGTCAATTGATGTTGAACAAAATGAAAGGCTAGACCTATAACATTTCTGCATCCATGGATATCATTATCAGGCGTTGTTTAGATGGTTGCAGAAAGTTCTTTGCTGGAAGCGGCAAGTTCCAAGTGGTAATGCAAGGTTTGATTCCCCATTGGGACCGGACTCCATGGGCAACAAAGATCAAAAAATACTTCCCCATACTGTATCACAAGCATTGGAAGCCAATGGTGATCATTGATTATGTCTGGCAGTCAAACCATGCCTGTTGCCACCTAGTTTGGACAGGAACAGAATTTGCCATGATCAGTGACCATAAATACCACAAACAAGATTCACAAATGTGACTATTTTAGATAAAAGTGAAGGTGATTTTTTCATAGTCTTCGAAATGTTGAGTGAACTATGTAGGATCTTGTGGACAACTCAAATCATGGGCCAAAAAGAAATTCACCCAATTAAGTGGCTTCAAATAATTCGACATTCTATTACAGCTGCTACGTGATAAAAGAATAATTGATAGTAATTGTATGAGACTTGTCTATTGTAGAATAGTAACCATATCTATTCCTCAGATGAATAGGCACCAATCAATAGGATATCTATAATATAAAACACGTCAAGCTTTAATAAACCTATCCGACGGTTTCAAATAAACTCATCTAACGGCCATATACTTCCCTCTCAAGAATCTAGGTTTACGTTACACCGTACCTTCAGACATGGATTACCCAAGTTATAAAACATAGAAGAATGTTATGCGAGCAACATATTCTAATTATAAGTTATGACAACTAAATATGCGCTCTACCCTCAGAACCTATTATTAATAATAAAACAATACAAGCAACTTAAACCCTGAACAATAAAATGTGCATTCTCTGTTTTCAAAGTTGTGGTCTATCACAACATGCTTTTGTGCAAGCAATAAGAATTAAAAAGTCTTGTGTACAAGGCTCCCACCTCTGGCAAAGTCGGGGATTGGTGAGTTTCAGGTACTAGAATATCATTTGCTATCCCTTAGAGGAAAGATGTTTAGATTCTGCATATTGTTTGTTCTTAATTGAAGCCTTTGAAAATAATTGTGATTTCCCAAACTAGCTAGAAGGTGCCTATACAAAATCAAAACCAGTTGAACAGAAAAAACAAGTATAATTAAAAAATACACGCTTCTCCGTTCATCTAAATACACAATATTCCAGCTAAATCCATATGAAATCATCTAGAAGATAAACTTTTCAACTTCAACTTCAGCATTATGTTCATTCATAATTGAACAGATAAGGCAAAGTCCACGAGTGTTCAGTTATCAATTAGCACTAAATGAACAATAATATTTGGCAAGAGAACAAACCTCAACTTCCATGGCACTAAAACCAAATCCAGAGTCCCCTCAATAGAAACCACAACCCGACCAGATGAAGCCACTGCCACAGTAATGCAATATCCCAGACCATCCCCATTGTCCCCCAAGTCCCAACATCCAACCTACTCCTCGGCTTTGTGTGAATCAACACAGCCCGACCAACGTTGATTGTGTTCACCCCCTCAGACACCAAAATCGCATCCCTAATTATTCTCATCGATGTTATAAAATTGAATGGTCGAACATCCTTAGCCAATTGTGCCTCCATTCTTGACACATTTTCCTTTGCCTCTTCACTATCGCCTCAACCCAAGTATGATTCTTTCCCAAACAAAAAAGGTCATTATTAATCTCCTTATGAATCATTCCAAAACCCTTTTCGCATCCCCAACAAAATCCCACACTCGATTTCCTTAAGTCAATCTCTTCCTTACATATATCAACTAATAAAAAATTCATGTCCTTGGACCACTTTGGAGGTTCCCCAAAATGCAATTACCAATTCAGCCTTGCACCAAGCACTAATGCAACATCACATTTCCCAATCGCCATTGACCTTTCCCCCATTGCAACTAGCTCATGTGTATCAGACAACAATCCCTTTCCTATTGAAGTTCGCAGAAATGGAATTCCAGTGCTTTCAACTAACTTTTAAAGTTCATTTTCTGCTCTAGCAATGGCAAGGCCCTTACCAAATACAATCAACGGCCTCTCCGATTGTCTTGTCTCAACATCGAAACTTCCTTTTCAATCTCTGAATATTCCGACACTTCCTGTCACTTCTTCCTATTTCTTTCTACATTTCTGAGCATCAGTTTTCAATTTATTGACCTCCAATTCAGTTTTGATGAAGCACATCAGAGGGTAAGTCTAAGTAACACCCACCAAGTCGGCCCAATTTGGCCTAGTGAATAACTTCGAAAATACAATTAGAGATAAGTTTGATATCAGTGGTTTCTGTGGCAAATCTCGAGAAGGGTTTAACCGATGTGATTTGATCGAGCTCTTGAAAATCGTCGTGGCCAGAGTCTTTTTGATTGCAAGAGTCAGAGATGACGACCATGGGCCAAGAGTTAACGGTGGCGTTGGAAAGACCAGTGAGGCCATGGACGCAGTAGTGCTAAAGACGCTGAGGACGATTCCCTGCCGGCTAGTGAGGTACCCGAATGTCGGGCCGACATACCCATATGATTGATTGCTCATTGTGTAAGGCGATGAATTAGATTCGAAGGGGGACGGAGTGGTTGGCGAGGGAGATGAGTAGGATTCCAACAACGCTGAACATGCGATCCACGCCGGCACCTACCAAAGAAATAGCTACTTAGGAATTGCCATTGATTCGGGTTTTGTGATCGGAGTTGATGACTACCATCGATGAAAGAAGGGTATTGTTTGGAGGTGAACTGACGTATAGAGTTCTGTACCCAAATTACCAAATTTCACCCGATGGTGAGTCAATTTACTCAAATTTGAATAAAAATTCTGAATTGGTATAAATTAGTTCAATAAACTCACATCTCTCTGCAACCAATCCACCATCGATGCCCTTGACCCCAAATCTCTCATCCCAAGTCTCAACTCAGTTTGTGCCTGATTTTTTTATCAACTTTGCATAAATAAATAAAAAAGCCCGTAAATTTGTTGTCGGTGATGATGGCGAAGTCGGGACAGGCTCAAATATGGAAAATTAGCTGAAAATGAAGAAAATACAAGATGAAAAAGGAAGAAGATTACTTAAANGAATTTGTTGCCGGTGATGATGGCGAAGTCGGGACAGGCTCAAAATATGGAAAATTAGGTGAAAATGAAGAAAATACAAGATGAAAAAGGAAGAAGATTACTTAAAAATCTTTGAAGTCTTTGGCAGTGGCGTTGAAGGGAAGCTTGATGTAGGATGGGAAGAGCTAAAAACCATGGGAGAATAGAAAGAGAAGAATAAAGAAGGAAGTGGAAGGATTTACCTCGTTCTCACCAAAAATTTGTCAAGAAATACACAATTTTCTACAGAGAAATAATTTTTATTATATCTCCCTTTCCCTAATAAAAATAATTGGGATTACACCATTATTTATTGGTCAAATTCCCTACTAAAATAAAAACTATTCTACTGAAAGAGTTTCATAACCAAACTTTCAAATTCCTATCCTACTAAAATTCTATAACAATTTCTTAGTCAAATTCTACTCCTAGTCATACAAATATTTCCTAACTAATAAAATAATACTAAAATAAATAATAAAATTCAATTCTTAAATTTAAGCTAATTCAGTCCCTTTTTGATCTCTATCAATTCTTCCTGGCTAAAAAAACCTCTTCTCCAAAGAGTTATTGCAGCAAGAATACTCTAAGAGAATTGACATCAAATTGTGAAACACATCGTCAAACCTAATAGCATAGAAGTAAGATCTCTCTTCAATGACATAATATAGGATATCACAATGGGAGGAATCTATTCTCGAATCTTCATAACCTTCACACTTTGTTCTAGATAAAAGGACGGTGAGGATGTTGACGAAAAAGTAGCAACTCCATCTAAAATAATTACGCTTGAAACTTGTTTTCCATCTTGTAGGAACACCCTATACAATTGGCTTGCCAAAAACAATTGTTGTGGGATGGATAAAAGTAGAACTTTTGGACTCATCAACATTGAATAACTTCAGTTTAACGCAATTCAGTCGAATTGGAACTTGTAGTGGTAGAACTTGTGGTTTAACTAGAGGGGGTTGTGTTTAACCATTTTTTGATTAGCAGTTGAGGAGACAAAGTTAAAATCTTCACTTGTTTTGGTTTCACAAACTATAGCGAGTACAAGTTCTCTCAGTGAATCAATGGATGCTGGAATTGTATGATTGTATCTCGTCTAGTATTCATAGCCTTCTGTAAAATAACTTGTGCTTGGGATAAAGCCTCCACTTTAGTATTTAATTCAATGTTGGAAATCATATTGATCGGAAGAGAATTTTAAGAAAATTTTTTTTTTGAAAACTCTAAGGTCAATTTGTAATTTCAAAAATATTTGGGGTTAAATTATAATTTTTGAAACTTTAGGGGCTAAAATATAATTTTAAAAATTTTTGGGGCTAAAGTGTAATTTCTAAAAATTTGGAGGCAAAAGTGTAATTTCAAAAACTCTAGAGGTCAAATATATAATTTTGAAAAGGCTTGGGGGTGTTTGTGTAGTTTCAATGGTGTTAGATTTGAATTTTTGGGAATTGGTTNAAAATAGCTAAAGTTGCAATCAAGATCTAGTTGGATTCAAAGAGAAAAAATAGTAAAACACTGCATACATATAATGAGTGAAAGAGCAAGTATAGAATTCACCTCATGGACATTTAAATGTAAATTTTAGAGCATGAGTTAAAAATCAAAGAGAAGCCAGGAGTGGAGTGCGAGTCGCGGTGGGAATAGAATGGGTTTGACCTTAGTATCCTAGGGAAGATGAGTGATTAAATTACATATTGACATTATAATCATACCATGATTTTCTATGATCTATTTAGAATATAGCCATAGGTCAAAGGGCATTCCTANCGATAAATCTGGCCAATGGATGAGACAGAGAACGAAACTTGATGAAATTTCAAGTTTTTTTTTACAGTAATGAGACAAAATTGATGGACAGCAGTAGTAGCTCGAGGTTTAGCTCTGATATCAAATTGATACAGGACAGGAAGAACTAAAAATCAAAGAATAGAAAGAGAAGGAAAAAGAATAGGGGTAAAAGGGATTTACCTCATACTCGCAAGGAATCGGTCAAGAAACACACAAAATTCTCCATGGAGAAACACTTTTTATTATATCATTCTCTCTAATAAAAATAATTGTGATTACACCATTATTTATAGGTTAAGTTTCCTACTAAAATAAAAATTGCTCTACTACTAAAATATTAAAAGAATTTCATAACCAAATTCTCAAATCTCTATCCTACTAAAACTCTTTAGTAATTTCTTAGTCAAATTTTAACTACTACTCCAAGTCAAACAAATATTTCCTAACTAATAAAATAATACTAAAACAAAAAATAAAATTCAATTCTTAAATTTAAGTTCATCCAATCCCTTTTCGATCTCTATCAAACATTATGCACTAAAGAAGAAACATCTGGGGCTAGGAGAGAAAAGTTACCGTTGAAATTTTGATATAGGGTCCCCTCAAAAGTGTGTATGGGTGAATATATATCTATGAAATATTACAACTAGGTACATTCGAGGGGGTGTGTGGGCTAAATATATTCAGTATGTGAAATTTTATTAATTAACCTACATACATAAGATATCTCTATACTATAAAGAGATGTATCTACAATCCTTCACAAGCCTCTATTCCACAAATCCTAATTTCTGGTATTTTGAGTTTTTTATTTTTAATAATACTAATTGATACACACATGTGTTGTATATGAATTATTTTGAGTATCAAATATCGAAAGAAAGCTCACCAAAATGTTCTTCAATCTCTCACATAATGAAAAACCAAGATAAAAAACTTTGGACCATGAAAATAATTATTTCAATGGAATTGTTTCTACGATATTTATTCTCCAATCCAATTAAGATTTAATAAGACTTTACGCCCTCAAAAAAAAAACTTATAATCCTTACTTTACCATCCTCTTGCACCATTTCTGATTTTTTGGTATTTGATAGTAAGAAACTTCGACCAACCCTTAAATGCATCCTTGTTACTC